GATAGTAGTGACTAGTGACAAACCCGCAGGAAACCAGAGAAATGTTTTTGAAAGTTTTGTCATTCATTGAAGTATGTTGGACATGTTTGATCAGAATTTTGTAGGTGGGTGGAATTTCCCCGATTAAAGTGTTTACAATTTTTTGGGGTTAAAACTCTATTTCTTGAATAGGATTAGTCAGAATTGTCTAATGTTATGTTTATGTTGAATGTTATGTTCAGCGTATAATTTGTTGCAAATTCTAGTCAGATATCACAATTAGGTAGTGCATGAGAGTGATTTAAGCAAAGTTGTGGGTGGAATTGCCCCGGTTCACCCTACCTCCTTGCGTGCGCAGATCGACTGCTGTTCGGGTTCGTTCAGTGCGGAGTTTTAGGTTGTTTTAAAAAATTTTTAATGACCTCTCGCCTTTCATTCTAAAGTCAAATTAAACGAAGAAAACAGTCACCCTTTCCTCCGTAACCATTAAAAAAACCTTCTTCCGAAATTTTTATTTATTCAAAAACTTGTCAGGTTCACTTTGATTTTTTAAAAATACAAGTTCAAGTATGGTAACTCTGTTCGCAAAGGGTGCACATTTGCGAAGAGGGTGCCTCCGAATTTTGAGGACACTTTTTTAATTGGCTCAAAGAGAGGAGTGGACTCTTTATTTGTTATGTAGACTCTTTGTTCCCACACACATTTTGATTACGCATATGACCTACGTCACAGCTCATCAATAACAATTTTTACTTGCAAAATTTGGTACAAGAATTTATTGTTATAGTGAACACATTTTTGCACTAATGGCTCTCAAAACATGCGTTCAGTAAGCATAATATCCCAATTAGAAAAACCTGATGGACTTGCTATTAAAAGATATATTGCCCCAGCTGTAAACATTTAAAAATATGTAGAAACCACCCGTTTGGATTTAAAAAAATAGTATTTAGTAATTTTCTAGAATACAGCTTGCAGGTGTTTACAAAAATGTTGACCTGTTAAGACGAATTAATAGAAGTCACTGTGCAAAAATTGGAGAACCTATGTTCGATAGTTGAGGAGATATTTGAAAATAAGTCGCACTATAATTTTCCTGCCTATCATGATTGTCAGTGTGTATCAGCCTATCAACATAATATTGTGATAGTACCCACCAGCGTCCCTGGACGTCTGTCACATGTGGGTGGTTGGCGGGAGCTCTGGTGTGGTTTGCTTCTTCTTTCCTATCAAACATCTATCGTCCTTATCTCCCCTTCTTCTATTTTATGTTTGTTACTCTCTGGTAACACCTCTAATCTTCTGGCGCTCATATGACCTTATGCAGTTGCGAGCGCCGTAAAACCTCTATTAAAAGTTGTTGCAGTCTGTCACCGGGACAACCCGCACGTTAATACCCCATTATCTATTCAGTGTTTAATATAGGTATTTTTACGCCCCCATCGACATAATTTAGATCATTTGGTAAGCAGGCTTCCGGCCCTGTCTGTAAAGATTAACAAGGGCTGAGAGGGAGATTACATCCCAAAAGAAAGACCGACATACTTGATTTATAAAATGTATCCCAACTGGGAGAATCTCTTAATAATCAAAAAGTGCATTCATATAGCACTTATCCACGCTCTGCAGCATGCTCTATGCGCTGTATAACCATTATTACCCCGGCAGAGCCTATGAGAACACTCGGAAACTTTAGCGACAGCGAAGCGTTTGAAGCACACCACAAACGCCGGCATTACCCGTTTTCTTTCTGCGCCTTTCTCAATTTTATGATAATATTTTTAAAACCCCCCAGCAACATAAGACTGCTAATTCTCGGATTCGAACCTGATTCCTCCGAGGACAGAGAGGAGTGGCGCAGCAGCTGCTTCCACTAGCTTCTTGGTCTCATTGAGGGCTAGGCTCTGACCACATGTGGCCGAGTCACTCAGACGGGTCAGGTTGTCCGAGAAGTTCTGGACAGGATGGTTCAGGATCAGCACTAGTGCGTACATGATCAGGATCGATCTAGGAGGAAGGGGGGGGGGCGTTAAAACATGATCAGGATCGATCTAGGAGGAGGGGGTGGGGTGTTTAAAGCTGTG